ATTAGCGCGTACCAAATGCACAACCATCATAAAGAAGACTAAGGAGCACTTTGTTGAGCGCAAAGCAACACAATTGGTGACCGCTCCTTCTGGAAGCCGGACGTTCTGGTCTCCCGTATCTCCTGTTCCACTAACTTACCACCCTATGTTAAACCATCTGGTGACTTAGTATCCGACCCTTTGGGAAAAACCGGAAGTGTTTGTTTCCCATTTTGCTTCCAGTTCTACCCTACTGGATTCACCAATCCAACCATTCTTTCACACCGCTAATTTCCACCAGAGAGATACGCCGAAGGTTAAGGAGTCAGTTGTTGCTGATCAACTCTGTCACCACTTGGAGCGGAACAAGATGCTTAGCGACTGCCAGTACGGTTTCTGACCCCATCCATCTAACACCGGTGGTCTTCTGGCGTTCATTTCGCATACGTGGTCAGCGACACTCGACAACTACAGAGAAACCCATGCAATGTCAATGGATACATCAGAATATATTTATTTCACACACGTCTGAGTCTAGACTGTGTGCCAAACAAATCATGATATGAAAAAGGAAAACGTTTCATGATTTGTATGTGGGCTAAATACTGCCAGGTTGCCCAGGCCAACGCAGGTGAAGTTTCTTGAGTAATCCATAACCAAAGCCTTGGGCTAGCCAAAGCCTGACCCACAAGGCAGTGGGGCGGTGTGTGAAAACCGCATTCAATCCTGTCTGGCACGCCGGTCTGCTGGCTAAACTTCCCAAGTTTGGCTTTACTTCGGAACTTGTTTCTTGGACATCAAGCTACCTCAAGGAACGCAGCATCTCCGTTCGAGTAAATGGGACCATGTCTCGCTCTCTGCCTATGAATACTGGTGTCTTCCAAGGTTATGTAATTTGCCCCCCCCTTCCTTTTTCTAATGTTTATTGATGACCTTCTTTCTTCAACTTCAAATCTTATTCATGCCTTTGCCGATGACGCCATCCTGTACTCTGCTGTATTCTATTCCTCTTCGCGCGTCCCTAACTTCAGCATTAGTGACGACCGCTCCTCCCTTAGTTTCTCTCTAAATTCCGATCTGAGCTTTATTTCTGCTTTAGGGCTGTCGTAACCGTGTTCTCTTCAAAACCAGTAAAAATTCCCTTATTTCCATTTCTCTTAGGCATACATTCTTGAATTTCAATTCCAACAATCTCCGATCCAAAGAATCATGCAACCTATTGGGATCTTTTTTACCTTCTCTTTTTATGGTCATCATATATTCATATACTTGTCTCCTGCGCTACGGGCAAAATCGACTGGCTTCCTTTATCATACTAGACGTTTCTTCACCCCCATTCACCAACTCTCGCTTTACCAAGCTCAAATTCGCCCTATTCTTGAATACTGCAATCATGTGTGGGGCGGAGGAGCTTCGTCCACCTCTACTTCTCTTATTGGTCAGGTTCAACGTAAGAACACCCGTCTCATCAATGACCCGTCCCTGTGAATTGCAGTCATTAGCTCAACGTCGGGCAGTCATCTATTTATCCTTATTCTATCGATACTACTTTGGATTTTAATCTCATGAACTTTCCGCATCTGTCCCTCTCCCACTTGTTCCTCCTCGTAGATACCGTGCACAAGGGGCTAGCCATCCATTTCAAGTGACTATCCTCACGGGTGTCTCATTTCTAACTTCCGATTATCTTTTTTCTCAAGAACAGCACAGCTGTGAAACACTCTCCGTTTCGGTCTTCCCTCCAACGTACAACATCCTTGTCTTTAAACGCAGAATCAACAAGCCAGTTCTTGCTAGAATGTTCTCCATACCTTCCCACTGACAGTGTATCTTCGGATCATGGGGTTTACCCCTTACACTGTATTCACTTTCGTGCAATCCAAAAAGAACTCTCATTCGCCGCTAGGGGTGTCGGCATTCTCGCCA